CTTTTGTTTTATTTTGACTCCTGAAATAACTGTTCCTATTTGAGCCACTCTCATTTGCCTTTTTCCACGTCCTACCTTGAAAACCTAAACTTTGAATTCTTGAAGACTAGAACCATTGATCATTATCGAGAGTTTTCTCAAGTGACTCCCGTCATTTGGGATGTAATTAACTATAGGGGCTTGCCTCTATAGGGAACTTGGAACCCAGGTAAAATAAGCCCTATTTAATCTTTGTATTAAATAGGGGAATTTGTCGGTCATATATAAAAGGTTCGCAGACCAAACGGATGTCACAAATCTCTTAGTTTGCAGGATTGGGTCTATCGCTGAGGTCTACACTTATCTCTCGGGAGGGTGTAGTATTCGCGGTATCAGGCACGATTATGCAAACTATCAGACTAATGAGATCCATTTGATCTCATTTTTCAAAAATTAAAACATACTACTTTTAAAACTCAAACTATATATCTTTTATATTTAAATTAAATCTCAAAAATTATTTTCATATATCATATTTTTCAAATAAATCTAATCAATCGAAAAAAAGTTGACCGACACCCGTATTCACCCGTAATATGGGAACCCTTGCTTAGCATTAGTTTCATGGACTAACTTCTTTACCCGTATTCACCCGTAATATTGGAACCCTTGCTTAGTTAACACTACACCCAGGCGCCGGTGTAGCGGCCCTTGCACACTTTTCACTGTATTCAGGCTATACAGCGCGTCGCTTCCAGGAGACGCTCTAGCACTTACACGATGATCAAAAGGATTCATATCATGAATTTTTTTCGACAAGTTTTAAGCTGGTTGTCGACTACTTAACGCAACCCTCCACTTTTCGCATCCGGGCTTGGGACCGACATCGGCAGTGTTGATTTTTTCATAAGATATATAATAAATTTATTTTGTAGTTTTGAGACTACAAGTTTTCCTCAATTTTGTTGAATAAGAGTTAGAAACAAACATCATGAAGAAATGGAGTGGAAAGAATGTCATAATAGAGTCTCAAACTCCATCATAGTCGGTCACCAAACTCAGAATGCTCTCTCCGAAGGTCGTTAGAGAACAACTGTAATAGAAATCCAACAAAAGGAGGCTTCTATAAGCTAGCAGCTAGAGCTTGAACACCTCTGGCAGGCATTGAGACCAAGTCACGGCAACCAGAGGCAGCAGGAAACAAGGGAACAAGAGCATGTCTAATTTTCTTTAGACTCTTTGAATTCATGATTTGAAGATAGCAGAACTACAGTTCGCTACGAGCAAGGAACAAAGGAGAGTCCATGGCAGTTTTATTCCTCTAGTTGTTTACAACTCTCAAAAGCAGACTCATGAGAGTATTTCCTATTCATCTTGCAAGCAGCCAGTGGCCCTTCTTCCTAGTTTCAGCCGTAGAGAGATAGAGGTAAGATTTTGATATATCTCGACAGGGAGGCATGAGGTTATGATTCTTGACCAGTGGCTACAGCAACAAAATTTGAGGTTTTTCAAGGTGGGTAAAAAGTAAAATTTGTTGTCCAGGCATCACATAACCTCCCAGCTAGAAAGGAACTAAAGTTAAAGGTATCAAACCCATGCTAAAAGGGGTTGACAGCCTTGAAGCCAACTGGAATCAATGGTGATCAAGTTTCTTAAGAGTTCTTGTATTCTTCTTAATCAATTTTATTAAATCTTTTCTAGACTATCTCTCAACTGTTAACAAGCTGAACAAGAAACTGTAATATCTACCCTGGGAAACCAGAAAAATGTTGCTTGAACTACAATTCTAAATCATTACTTTGTTTGAGATCATCTTTACAGAACTTTAAACTTCAGTATGATTATCCACAGCCTTAATAATATTTATTTTATTTCCACTCTAAAAAACTTTATTGTCTTTAGAGCCTCAAGAATCATGCCTATTTAAAGAAACCTTAATATGAACATTGATCAAATTACAATACCGATAAATGTGCAAATAAATTGACTTTCAAAATGCAAAGAACTTTTACTTTAAAATTAGTATCAAGAAGATATAATGCATGTTATCAAAAAATAATTATTACCTTAGATGCCATCTTTCGTGCTTCAGTATTGGCAGGATAAAGACCTATAATCTGATCAAATGAGTCTGCCGCTTTCTGAAACTCCCCAAGCTCGAAATAAAGAAAAGCACGATCAAATCTAAGACCAACATCCTTTGGGTCTGCAGCTATTGCCTTTGAAAGGCAATATCTAACTTGACCAAAATTTTTCTCCTCACTGTCGTATAAAATATGAAATTAAAGCAAGATAACAGCAAACTAATAGCCATACAGAAAAGGAAACGAACGACTAACATATAAAAAAAGAATCAAACAAAAAATGTATGCTTATAATTTATCTAAAATTTAATCAGTATGTTGTATTTAAGGAAATACCAAAATATATAACAATTAAAAACCTCACATTATGTAAGCAACAATAAGCCTTTCAACACAGCAAGTTCTTCAGGTGGATAACAATGTGATCACGAGCTAATCCAACCCTAACTCAAACTTTGGCTCAAAATCATTTGACCAATCTCAAGCCGAACAAAGTGAGGTCATGGTCCGGCCCAGCCCAATCTTAATTCAAGCCAAAAATAGATCTCATCTCAACTAATTTCCTATCTTGAAAGGCATTCTTAATCTAATTTAGATATATACACTCATTCATATATAGATTCATATATATGAACAGATAGATGTATGTACTCATAAATCGAAATAAAAATATGTAAATGCAGTCATGCATACTTGCATATACATTTTTGTTATGATCAATCAAGATCAATATGATCCAGGCTCAGCTTAATTGAATTTCGATCTATCTAATTTGAGCGCATTAATCAACTACTTGAATTTAATATGTGCTAAAAATAAACCCAGTTTTCAAGCAAAATTTGAGCTTCAAGCCAAATTCATCATACTGTTTATTGCAAGAACAAAAAAAAAAGAATAAATAGTAAGAACGTCAGGACAATACATAACCTGCATTTTGATTATATGAGTCCTTAAGAAATTCAACAAAACCCAAACTATCTAAAACTCCAAGAGAACACAACCATATAATAACCTTTTGTGAAGCATACAAATATCTTTAGACATAAATCATCAAAGTTTAACCCTCACCTTCACCGCCCCCAAAAACCATAAAATCAATAAAAATCCTCTATGGGGGCAGCAAAAAATAAATACATGTGATATTAAAAGAACTGAGTCCAAGAAGATTCAAACGCAACTCATTGCATGCACTTCTGACTTCTTAACTCATCTATATCTGCAAACTTATACTATTAATAACTTTATAGAAAATATCAATTACATACATACAAAAACAAAGTACATTAATGCATATTTGTCTGTATAATAAATTCAAAGTATTTAAGGGATAATTTGAGACCACTTTTATCTTTTGTTTTTCGTTTTTTGATTTTTTTTTTTTTTGGTTGAGTTTGTGTTTTTTATTAGAATTAAAACATGTTTGATTATGGTTCATATTTTTAAAAATATTCAAAAAAAGGTTGTTTTGAGAGTTTTTAAAAACAATGTAATTTAATTTTTAAGAAAAAAATAAAAACATGAAAAATTATACTAATCAAACATGTTTTCAAAAACAAATAACAAAAGTGATGTCAAACAAGCCCAAAATCTATCACATCAAAGTATTATTTAAAAAAAAAAAATCCTTGATAATTCTGAATATTATATAAACTGAAAGTTTCATATCAAACACTTAAAACTATATTTTCTTAATTTTAAGCCCCTTATCCAATAAAAATTTACTTGATTAACTTTCAACTTATTTCAAAAAATATCACATTAATTAAAATTATGTTATATACAAAAGACATACACCAAGGCACCATACTTCATACATCTTTCATAAGTGTTTTTATTACAAACAAAAAAAGATATGGACTCAATGCTGATCTTTGATGCAATTCTACCATGAATGAAAACTCTTTAATAACTCTAAAATTACTATTAATATCCATCAATACTCCATCAAGTGTATCTTTAATAACTTAAGCTGACTTTTGACACAAACATTTCTTTCTTAATGCAAATCAAAATTCTCATGATATTTGATTATGAGTTCTCAAAATCAATACAAATATTAAAGATCAATTCTCTACCCTTTGTATGATTACTTTAATCATTCAAACACAAAAATTGCTTCCATGGTAAATCTACCTAGCATATAATCAAATTGATTCACTAAAATTCGCATAGAATTTTTATAATATATCCACTAGTCTCTCTCTCTCTCTCTCTCTCTTATAGCTTCATTATATATCTTGTAAGCTTGATCCATGTATAGTTAAAAAAAAGTTCTAACATATTCTTTATTGTAAATCTTAGTACCAAAATGATTCTTCTCCATCCATTTGTTGGCTTCTAATCTTCAAAAATCATTGAAAGATTTACTATACAAATAATCACAATATCCCCAATAAAACTCTAAATCTTAATAGTTAGCTCTCATGAACCTAAGGCTATATCTTCATTCATCTTCATAAATTACTTCGCTTCACATTCTTGTATCAATATATAATATACTTCATTATTCTGTTTATTAAGATCACACAAAATAATTACTTCCTTTAAACTCACATTTAATAATTTATCAAAGTAACATTTCACTCTTTTCTTAATTTATTCATCCTTAATTAAAATGATATCTTCACTTCCATTGCATTTAAATTGAGTCTCAAGATCTCTTATTTCTAGCCGTAGCTATTTTATATATTTTCTTTTTCCTCTGTTGATGGCAAGATTATTGTGTAAATCATCATCAAGAGTTATAACTTTTGATTTAATTACTAGTCATTGTAAGATTTTTAGCATTCATATAACTATTATAAACTTTAAGAGTATTTAACTTTTGTCACAATTTAGAGTGCATTGTTTTTCTTATTAACATTTATATATTCTTAATCCATCACTAAATCTCCTTACTAATATGATATATTTTTCAGTCTCTCCTAAAACTTTATAGCAATCTTTCTTGTTAACCTTTTATATATTCTTAATCCATCACTAAATCTCCTTATTAATCTGATATATTTTTCAGTCTCTCCTAAAACATTTATAGCAATATTTTAATGAAACTAGCCATCTTATCCCGCATCAGTGTTGGTTTCATAAAAAAAATTCAACTTAACTCTATTAACAACCAATCTTAAAAAATTAGCAATTTTTATCGTTTAAATATCATAATTTTTAATACGACAACAGCAAAACCTTTATCCCGCTAAGTGGGGTCGACTACATGAATCCTTTTTCTCCATTGCATCCTATTTAGTGTCAGATTTTCATTTAATTCTAATAAATTAAGATCATATTTTCTAATAAGAAAAATAATTATTTTGATTATTTTTTCTATATTATTAAGATATTCATCTAAAATAACAACATTTTAATAAGAAAAATTATTTTTTTTATTATTTTTTATATTATTAAGATATTCATCTATAACCACTACTCTCGAGTCATATGGTCTCATTTTATTTTGGAATCACCATATAATCTTTGAAAAAAAAAAGACTTTCCTCTTAAATAAAAAAGAAAACCATTTGGGAATTGATGGCTTAGCTTTCACAAGTAATCAGGCATTTTATCATTTCTTCAAGCATGTATTCACAATTGCAAGATCATATTCTACAGTAAAATCAAGTATACCTTCACCTATATTACTTATATCGGTTACTCTACACCTACCATGAATTCTCTCATAGCACATCCTACAAGAACTTTATAGATTCAATTCAATCTCCTTCAATAAATATCCTTCATATTGAAAATTGATTTGTTAAATTATCTTATAATCCAACTTGAAGAGCATAATAACTAAACCACATTTATAATATCTCACCAATACCCATTTAGGAAGTAATTACTATATCACTAATCTATTTACCTAAATTCATTCAATTATCCATTACTATACCAATCGCATTTGTTTTAACATAAAGTCTAAAATTTTTTGCCAATCTTATTGAATTTTCATTTTTTCCATTAAGTAACTTGGAAACTAAAGTAATTAGGCATATGAAAGATTCAATGTCATGAAATTCATCAGGGGCATGACAGGATAACTAAATAAGTTTACAATTTTATTTGTATTTTTTTATTATCCAATGAAAATATAAATGCCTAATCCAAGCCAGCTTAACTCATGATGCAAGAAAAGCATTACACCATGACATTCACTTGAAAAGATAAGTGCATACAATATTGCATCAAGCCCTCTGGTAATTTGTTGCCTACAATTTATGAATTGATTTTCATAAAGCACAAGTCAACTTTGCATAGAAGATTAAGAAGGAAATAGGTGGCCTCACTTTCTTCACCCAAGCGCACGCATGTAGATGAAAATCAACCATCCCAATGCATTGTATCCAAAATATTGGCATATCAGAAATTCCCAAGCTTCAGTAAATGAATACATAAACTCAGAAGCAGGTCTTCAATATAAATCAATACATGCGCAGATTGCACAATTTATTTTATAATGCATCTTTAACATGTGATCACAACCACTTACACAATAAATAATAATAGAGGAATTGGACATGCTGAAATTCATTAAAGAATGCCAGTACAAAAGTTAATTATAGGTGAATAGTACCATGCAATAGTTCAGAGGTTGCAGACATTTAATTGGCATTTAGAAGTGAAATGCAAATATTCATTGATTTTAATATTTTTAACTCAAATCTCAACATAAAGGTCAAAATATTATGCCCATGAGCTGTGAGTGCACAAAATAAGAACATATGCTTACATAGACCAAGTAAAAAGCTTCTTCCAAAGAGATACATCTTTTGGTGATAAATGTGCAGCAATCATGTGAAAATTTAGAGCTTTTTTTCTATCATTCATAGCATCGTATATAAGACCAAGTAGGTGGTATGGATCAGGTAAATTAGGTGCAAGTTGAACAGCTGCTTCTAATATGGCTATAGCCTGAAACAAGAAGAAGGAATGGTATGAGATGAGCATTATCTGACCATCCCTTCGAAGGGGAATAATTTCATTGCTTGGTAGTTAAACTTTATATATCACTCAACAAAGCAAGACAAAAAAAAAAAGAATGATCCAAAAAATAACAACGCAAAAAGATAAAGAGTTATCAATATATATTAAAAAAATTAAATTCTAAAATAATATCACAGCTAGTCATCATGAGATAAATGTAGTCCCAAAGTATGACATTCTCCAATTTAGTCCCTCAACCATATAATATCGATCTAAAATGCTCTAGAAATTGTGATAGAAAATTAAACCCAATTTGATTCATCAACTATACAAAATTGATTTCAATTTAGTCCCTAGAGACCATTTTGGACCACTTTTATATACTCAAGAAACTAAATTGGTAAAACATGATAGTCTAACACTAAATTGGCCACATAAGAATAATCAGAAGCTTATTTTGGGATTTAACCCCATTTAAGAACAAAAGTAATCATCAACATTTTGAATCATCATTAGCCATATCCTAGCTATTCTTTATCAATCAGCATTCACATTCTTGTTGAAAGTTGCATGCATTGTTCTCTACATGATGCAAATATGCTGTAAAATAATAAACATTGATAGAAAATAGGTAGCAAACAAAAGAGAATAATACTAACCAGTGAATTCTCATGCTATTAAAGCCAAATCTTTAAAAAGCATTAGGTTGTTGAATAGTCAACAACAAGAAAATTAAGAAGCCAAAAACATAGGAAGTAAAAAAATTCTACATTGAATTCAGAAAAATTTAAATGATCCAAAACATCATCAAAATATATACAAAAAGACTATATAAAAGGAATTAAACTTTATTTGAAGATAAAATTATCATTATCCTTATCATATTTATAACTAATTTAAAAAATACAAATAGCTAATGAAAAATAAACAGTTAAAATAGGGCTAAAAATATTTAAATTGGTCAAGTTCAACTTATTAATTGTTCGATTTGGCTGATGGTCCTAGAGATATTGAGTATATCAAAATTGGATTTTTTTTTAATGATTAAATCATATAGACAATATTGCAGCATTTCCCCAAGGAAGAAATAATGTCTTTTGTAAGAGTAAAAGTCGTAGAATATCTCTAGAAGGTCAAAAAGGCTATGATACTGGAACTAGTAAGAAAAATAGTGAAAACACAAAAAAAAAGCTTTCATTAATATTAAAATAGGATTACAACATGACTCAAATGAAAAATAACAACACAAGACAAACATAAAATGACACGAGCAAACACTTCTAACTGTATCTCATTGGGTGGTGGAGGTAGGCTAAAGAGATAGGAATGATAAGGAGGGATAAATAAATGACACAAACAGCACTCCTAAATGTAACCGTTGGGTGGTGGAGGTAGGCTAAAGGGATAGGAATGATAAGGAGGGATGAAGGCAGCCATAGCAGCCATAGAAGGCAGGTGGTGGCGAAGGGAATGTGCGGAACTATAGGAATAGTAAGTGGGAATGGGATGTCGGTGGTCAACAGCGGTAGTAGGGTGGTTGGGAGGAGCTTGAGAGGAGTTAGGTAGGCGGGATAGCAGTAATAATCTGAGGAAGGGGGAATTGTTGGGTATTAGGGTGACGGTGGGAGAGTTTGGCGGCTGAAGAGTGGAGGGGAGAGTTGGGTGGTTGAAGCGTGGGGAGAAGAATGTTTGGGGAAGGTAAAAGGGAGGATATAATCACCACTTTGGAGGGATACAACCGAAGCACCACCACCTCCTCGGATACAGCCGATAAAGGGGAAAAAGAGTCCACACAGGAGATCTGAAACTAAATACACCAATAATTGACTCCCTACATACCTAAGAAGTAATTTTTAGGCTCAAAGGAAACTTCCACACAAAAAGGATAAGTAGGAAGCCAAGAAGAATCCATAAATCACTTTCCAGAAAAAATTCGGTGCAAATAGCCTAGCCGGATCACGAGAATTCGCGATTTCCCTACCTGTTGCAGGTTCTCCCGACTTCACAAAGTCGCGGGTCCCTGCTTTGCATCGAACGGTTTCGCGAGGCTTTGGCTCCGCTGTTGCTAAGTGCCCCCCTCTGGGGTGCTGTTCTGCACCCAATTTCAGGCACTAATTCAAGCGTCTGTGTCAGTCTCCTGGGGTTGGGGAGAGCTTCGACTTCATTGATCAAAGCTTCGGTTTCGCTGTCAGCCACCCTGGATCCCACTGGCAGCTGCACTGTCGCCCGAGATAGTTGAGGGTCATCCCCATTTTGCGAGTATATATCCCAATTGATCTGTCCTCTTAGGGTTGTAGATCATGCCTATACTGATGAACCTTCCAAAAGTACCCCATGATCGGTTCAAACGAACATGCAGTGAGAGCAATCTGACCCTTCTAGCACGGCGGTAGTGTTGTTGGTACGTAGTCCTGACATGATCTCGGTTGTATTTGTCCGGTATCGGGGGCGGGTGTCTCGGTCCTCTCGTCTAGTGTCATTACTAAAACTGATTCTACTGTCGTTGTTTTGCGTAAAAGGGAACTTGTGACCTCGGACTCTGTTAAAGAGAGGAAGGTGATGCACTTCTCGTCCTTGGTGAAAGAAAGCATGTTTTTATATCCGTCTTGTTGAGTCCTCTGGTCATATTGCCAAGCACATCCCAATAAAAGATAACAGACATCCATAGAGACCACGTCACAGCACACCTGGTTTTGCAACTAGCCTCCGCTCAAAAAGTCTACCAAGCATCTTCGGTCGATACTGACCCCTTCTTCAGCCACGTTGGTGAATATGGTTGGGAATGTCTTTGAGTTGCGAGTCCTAATTTCTTTACCATTTATGTCGACATCACGTTCTTGTTGCTTCCGCCGTCGATGATGAAACTGCATACCATTCCGTTCACTGTGCAGCGAGTGTAGAATATGTTATGGCGAAGCCACTGTGAATCCCTCATGTCCTAGGTTTGTATGATACGTTGAATCACGAGCGGTTGTCCTTCCTCTGGGGGAAACTGATACTCCTCACCCAGTTCCTCGGCTTTCTCTTCATTGCTAATTCGTCCTAGGTTTGTATGATACGTTGAATCACGAGCGGCTGTCCTTCATCTGGGGGAAACTGATACTCCTCACCCTGTTCCTCGGCTTTCTCTTCATTGCTAATTCCTTCTACGGTGCCTTGATCTGTGAGTGTGACAAACCTGCTTGTGGGGACGTTGGAGGTAATGAGGTCGTAGCTGCGGCATCGGTAGCACTTACTGGTCGGCACCGTGTTGGAGTTGCCCTTTTCCTGTTTCTTCTCACTTTGATCCGTAGTGTCATTCCCCAATCTGAGCTTGCCTCTCCTAAGATATCCCTGTTGATCGTGGTAATTGTAGGCGATAGCCTACCTAAAGATTGCTGCTTGAAAGATGATTGTTGCCGATTCAGCTTTTGTTGTCTTTCCACCTTCAAGGCTAATGCCTGAACATCCCCTAGCGTCCAGTATGGTTATAACTGTATCACATTGTTGATGGTGGGTTTTAGACCCCCGAGATATTTGATGATTGTGTGCTCCTCTGGCTCTGCCAGCTTGGATTTTAGCGACAGGTGGTCAAACTAGACTGTGAGCTCTTCTACTGAAAGACCCTCTACTGCAAGTTGTAGATCTTCAAAACCATATCCTGACGATAGTGGGGTGGGAAGTACTTTTTCTGCAATGCCTTCAGCTTCTCCCACTTAGTGATCTTTTCACTGCCTTCTCTTTTCCTCTGTTTCAGCACATTTTCCCACCATAACGAAGCGCTCTTTTTCAACTTAATGGCAGCTAGCTTGACCAGTTTGTCTTCTGATAGAATTTTATATTCGAAAATCCATTCAACGGATTGCAGTCAGTCGATAAATTCATCGGGATCCATATCCCGTTCAATTTCTAAAAGGTCTATCATGATACCAAAGCCCTGCTGACCTCCATAAGGAGCCTCTTCTCTCAGTCTCCTTTGATAGTGGATACCAAAAACACATATTCGATAATCCTCGTCACTGTGATCTTCCATGTGGAACAAATTCATCTCCTCGTCCCTATCTTCTCTTTAACTCCCTCAATCAAGGACAAAGATAACAACTTCTTGGTTTCCGTCATCCAGCTCTGCTAGTCTCCGTTGTAGGCGACGGATTTCTCGTTGACTCTCTGCCTGGGTCAAATCTGGTGTGTCTCTCCATGGTGGCATGGTTGGGTTGGGAATCAGAAGAAAAATTTTTATGGAGGTGAATTAGGTAGGGGCGGTGGTTCGGAAACCCTAGGATGAGACGAAGGGATTGACTAGCTTTGATACCAAACGATACTGGAACTAGTAAGGAAAACAGTGAAAACACAAAAACAAGCTTTCATTAATATTAAATTAGGATTACAATATGACTCAAACAGCAAATAACAGCACAAGACATAAATGACACAAACAATACTCCTAAATATACCCATTCAGTGGTGGAGGTCGCTAGAGGTATAGGACTGATTAGGAGGGATGATGAAAGTAGGCTGACCTTGAGAAGAGTTAGGTAGGTGGGATAGCAGTAATAATCTGCAGGAAGAGGGAATGGTTGGGTGTCGAGGTAGGTGGGATAGCAGTAATAATCTGCAGGAAGAGGAAATGGTTGGGTGTCGGGGGGGGTGATAGTAGGAGATTTTGGCAGGCTAAATAGTGGGGAGTAGAAGGTTTGGGGAAAGTAAAAGAGAGAATATAATCACCACCTTCGAGAGGATACAGCCAAAGTACCACTACCTCCTTGGATACAACTCACAAAGGGGAAAGAGACTCCATACAGGATATCGAAAACTAAACACACCAAGAGCTGACTCCCTGCACACCTAGGACAATAATTTATAGGCTCAAAGGAAACTTCTACACAAAAGGGATAGGTGGGAAGCCAAGACGAATCCAAAACACTTACCAGAAAAAATTTGGTGTGACTACCCTAGCTGGATCGCGAGAATTAGTAATTTCCCTCCCTGTCACGGGTTCTCCTGCCTTC